TTGTATACAGTAAACAGTGAAATAAAAATTAGTTGTCAGAATGAACAAATCCTTTAATTGGGGAAGTGAAAAAGCTGAATTCCAAAAATAACTGAATTTTTGCTGCCAATGAATCACTGCAATAATGACGATTGTTTGATTTGAAAAACAAAGGTTTTTTATTGTTTTTTGAAGTTACTGTACAATAGTTCCCCGCTATTACTTGTCGTCGCTCAATCTAATATGACTTTAACAACTAAAGCTGAAATCTATTACCAGCAATAATTTGACATTAGCTGCTAACTAAAAGAGAAATTTTTCTTAAAAAGCATAAATTTTTTGATTATTTCTAAAAAACATGGACAAGCAGCATTTATGTTAATAATGTACATGTTTCTTGTTGCTGTTCTCCTTCAAGAAGGTTGTAGACACTGCTCTAGAGCTAATCATTTTTTTTTCGCTTTAACTTTATTAACAGATATTTGCTTGAAAAAAATTTTTTTTTCGTGCTTTAAGCTTGAATCTATCAGTTGACTGTTTATATTTAAATAGCCTTCATCTTGAACATTGTCGTACAACTGTTTTATTGTTTGAATCGTGAACTTACTTATATCAAGAACAGTGTCATGAGGTACCCACGCGAGAATCTCTTAGATAGGAGTCAACATAAGCTAAAACGAAGTTTTCCTACGCCAATTTAATAAAACTATTTTTTTTTTATTTTTTTTGATACTGAGAATTTTCATTTATCTTTCGCTGAGTCAACAGATTCGTACAACTACATTATAATTTTTGGCACAGAAACGGTAACTTTCTAGTCTACGGTTTTTTATTGTATTCTTGTTCCGAAAACTCTGGAAGTTTGGTTGTTACTGCTTTGAAGGTTGCGCAAAATCTAACAAGTTTTAATTTGTAGTTACGCCTTCAAAATGGTGATTACATTTTTTCAGTTTTTTCTGTACCTCTAGGTCGGAATTTTTTCATCTGTATCAACGTTCTTTGCTTAGCTAGGCCTGTAAGAATTTCAAAACTTTAATCATATGAAACAATTTTCTTCTTCAAAATGTAGCAGTGCAATTTCCTAAATAAAAGTCTATGACGTTATCCAGATCGTAAATTAGCACTTCTTTGACCTAAAGTTTGAAAACTTTGGAACTATATAGTTATCAGTTTAGATGACTGTGTGAACTGTTTTATCTCAAAAAAAAAAAAAA